CTTTTCGAATACGGACCTGGCGCCAGAGTTAATGTTCCAGTATTTGACTTGAACTAGGAGGGGGCACGTGAAAGCTGCCAAGCTACTTTCTCCTCGTCTTACTGCAGATACAATGCAATAAATCCTACATGCTCTGTATTGTCGCTAAACCAGGCTCATAATCGCCGGATCCAGAACAAATGACTTTCTCTCTGGAAGTACTACCACGTTTACTGTTCTCCAGTATCAAGGCCACAGCCTCCTCCTCCAGTTTCTTACCGGGTCTAGAGAGACCACTCCAGAGAATACAAGTAACCAACCGGGATGCGGGTGCTCCGCAAGTCGGCGGCAAACAGAAGGTTGCATCACAGTAATAGGACGGTTCACAGACGGCAGACAAAGTAAGAGAGTGTTCACGAGTACCCCCGTAACTGCATAGGGAACACACAATTTCGTAGAAGACGAAAACCCTGGATACAGATGACCAAGCCGTGCATACAATTCCGAGTCTTTTCCAGCAATGTTAAGCATTTGGGTCAATTCGCGGCTGGCTGAGCTTCACCGACACAAGAGTCCTGGATACATTAACGGTTCGATATGGGCCAGCCACAAGTAGGCCTGTCAAGTGAGGGCTGCTGGCGGTTGTGGTATGGATGGATCTGGGGATGCCAGCAAAGACCATCCATCCATTCCTGCATCCTTGCAAACATGCTTTGTCCTCCTTCAAGATGGGTGAGCTTTACTTTAATGTCAGGTACTCCATACCTCTGTCAGCAATCATGTATTTGGCACGCTGACCTAGACATATGGCGCCTTGGCTCGCTTCTGGACACGGAGTAATCGGGGTCGATGGTCACATCTTGAACGGAGCACGGAGTACGGCATAACCAAATGACGAGAAGCTTCGCCTTGCCATCTCATACCAATGCCGCTGCCGGGTTTCTCTACGAAAGCACGCGCAATCAACACACAGGCCCCATTACACATTGCGGGGCTGTGAGGACCAGTTGACACCAACAAAATGATGACGAAAGGGGACGGTGTTGGTTATTCGAAGATCACACAATGGAGTGCGAGTGGCTGTTGGCTTCTCAGTGAGGGCCTGGGGGACGGGCTGCTTCTTCTCTGCTTCTTTCATGGAGTACAGAGTACTACTGAGGGCTCCCTGCGTCTGTGTTGAATCGTTCGTTCATTCATGGGTCGCACGTCTCTCCTCTCGCCAGCTTGACCTCTTCTCGTCCAGAGAAGCGCTGGTGAAACCTAATCGATTCCCGACTTTCTCAAACTTTTTATTTGGGTTTGGGTCCACGGACGGTCAAACTTCGCTTCCAACTTGACTCATCTGCAAATAGCATGGACACTACTAGTACATCCAGTCTGGCTGCTTGCTGTGCCGAGCGCCCCGGCCTTACAAAGGCATTTGATTCCAGGCACGGAGAAATGTACCTCGGCGTGTGAGGGTGGCCTTTGGATCATCTAATGTCAGTTGTGTTCGCGATTCAACACATTTTTTCAATCCACTTGATATATCTGTGGCCATTGGAACCCAGCTGTCGTGTGATGCATGAAGCAGACCCATGCGTCTGGTCGCCCTTCAGCGACTCGAGTTTGCCAGGGCAATTTCAACCATGGCCTTGCAACCCTGAGGTCGTATCAGCGGGGGAAGTGTTGATTGGCTGGGACGGACCTAGGTGGGCGTTGTGACTCCTTTCGTTTTGCCTCATCTGAGGAGGAATGCAGCCTTTTCACCATGACGGCGGACAGCCACTGCGACGAGACTCTCAGACTCTCTCTGACAGACACTGTCGTGACTGTGTCCCACAAGGGTTCGAGACATTGATCACCACCAGATGTGTCTGTGCCGCTATCGTTGACCCTCTGCCATCCGGGCAAAGGCTGCACGCCGCATGATAACTACTACTACATAGTACGTCCACTTCCCCAGATCCCGGACTATGAATCTCGGTTGCAGAGGGGCCGCTGCGGTCCATTCACCTTGGTGCGACTTTTTGAAATCAAGACGTGCAAAAGCCATTTGTTGCACAATCACTTTTGTTGGCGCTAGCAGTCTTTCCGGCCAGAGACCAAATAATCAGAGAGCACAGATGGTTTCAACGTCAGCCATGATCGCGGGCGAGCCAAAGCAGCAATGATACAGTTTTTTTTTTTTTAAAAAAAAAAAAATAGGACAAGATTTGCCTTTGGTTTCGTCTACACCGTGATGATACCTTGCATGTTAACCGAACACAACGATTTGGCCGTGTTGAGCCATCATGGCGCTGACGATACACCACGGCAAGCTGTTGGCATCAAAGAAGTTCAATCCTCCCATGCCTTGTCTTCCCGTTGTGAAACAAGTGTACATACATTCTCACGAATCGAGGAGCCGTATTGGGACTGGTCTCGACTTTTGGCGGGACATGGCGTTGATATCTTGACGAGTTGCATGACGGAGCCTATATGTACTTGTCATATTTTACATCTTTCAGTCTATCGTGGAGCAATTGCTTTTGGTCTCGCCGAGTTTAAGTTGGCGACGCAATAGGCAACGCTTGGCACACTTTCGTGTAGCCCGGGCTCCCAGAGTTACACTGGCGATGAAAGCCATACCAAAATCATGGCCATTGCGGGAGTAGGCCCGTACATGGCCATGCACTGCTTGAAAAAACAGTAGCGGTAGCGGGCCAAAAACTGAGTTTGTTGTTGGCCGACGTCGTACGCCACGCCACAAGCCCTGCAATGGTTTGGCTGCTGGCCGGGTCGTTTGGGAGCAAACAACGCAGGACGTCGATCATATGAGTAGTGGTCTAGACCATGGGTTAATATTCATTGCCCGTCAGCAAAATTAGATATTGGCCCGCTTCATGGCATTGGGTCGGAGATATTCCAGGAACTGTGTCCAGGCACCAAGCTCACGAAGATATTGATGCTTGAGCTACCCTGCACCGGTACCTAATACGTCATCTTTATCATGTCTTGTTTGGGAATACGAGTCGCTGGTAGTACCAGATACCTTTGCACCATTATGTGGCGTAATCGGCCGCAGCCGTCTTTGAGCTTGGGCAACATATCCCAAGGCGAAAGTCTTATCTCGAGTCTCGAGGCTGGGCGTCGAGTCGAGACTTGTTTCAATACTCGCCTCATTACAAGCCAAAGCCAAACACCATGAAAACCAGCATGTCGCTCTCTGTTCCAACCAAACAGTTGCCGAGGAGGTAACCGAATAAACAGATTGGAAAACACTCGCGGACATGGCTCGATGCCCGGTAGAATATCATGCCCGGGGTTGAAATAAAGCACGCACGAGCATTTCAACACGCAGAGCCCATACCTCGTCTATATCGGGCACGTACTCGACATTTACATGGGCATACGCAGTTGGAAACGACGGAGCAGTAACCGGCCGCCCCGAGTCGTCGAGGGAATGGCTATGTGAAAATGCCGAGGAACGCTCTTGAGCATCCGGGCGTCGAGAATGTGACTCTGTTGAAACGTAAAATACTCTATTTGAGGTGTTCCTCCTAGGAAATCCTGTTCTTTTTCTCAACACATTTTTTCCGCATGGGGTTTTTGTGTCCTGGCTCATTCTCTATGGAATGTCTCCCAGGCGGCCAGGCCCAAGAAGCCGTCACTCAAAAAGATACGACATTCATCTCCATCGATGCCCACAAGTCGGAATCCCTACTTATCACCAGATCATTCATGGACAAGGTTGAATCGCTGCAGACAACGTCCTTTCATTCAAGAATGACAAAGGCTGCTCTTTGCGGTTAGCTGCGGCGAAGATGCGCGGTTCTCTCGACGAGGCAGGACAATCGGCGTGTCATGTTGAAGCAGAAGTGGCGTCTGCCGGAAGTACGGCTTGCACAACTGAATCCGCCTTGACATCATCCAGGATCCAGGGTATGTACATAGGTGGTGATTTTGCTTTTCAAGCAAACAGGGCACGCAGCGAGACCTGCCCACCACGGCCCACCGGGGCGACATGGTATCTTAGCATCATTGTCAAATTGTCAGTCACGAGAAGGGTCAAGGTGCATTTGCTCGCCTTCCGGTGGACAAGCTCGGTCGGTCTGTAGCACGCGTTGTTCCTGGAGGGAGTGGCGGGAAAACACCGCCTTGCAACCCATGGCCGAATAAATGTCCGCTGGGCCATCCATGGTCCCCCCGTGTTTGAAGTCATGAGCTGCAGCTGAAGATTCAAACGTGTTGTTGCAATGAAGGCTTGTTTTCCCTCTGGCGGGTCACCGGCCTGGATGGAAACGATGAGAAGGTCGCACAGGCTGACCGCGCATGACTACCCAACAAATAAGTACTCCGTATGCCACGCCTGAGCCCGTGGCCAATACAAAGCCCTCGACAAAAAAAGAAAAGAAAGAGCCTCATTCTTTCGGTGTTTGGATTGTACGTACATCCATCCACCCGAGGGGCCCGCCTGCAGCTCCATGTCCGTCACACAACACAACACCCAGCTGCTCATGATCCATGGACCGAGCCACAGCAACTTCTGTCACTGGTACAAATTTACAGAGCACAGAGTGCACCAGCCTGCGCATCAACTCCATTTCCATTTGATGTCGCCCAAGTCTCCGGCTCGCTCCCGGGGCTGTGCCGTGAGCCGCGAGGCTGTCGGGCAGACGTCAAATGGCCTCATGCACCGCCCTCTTCCCTGCCCGTCGCCCTGTTCTTTTGTTTCTTTAATTAATAAATACTTCCCCATTGCCTTTGTATTCTTGGTTGCACTCGAGTCGCATGGCGATTGTTGGGCCTTTTTTTTCTTTTTTCTTTTTTTGTGTATCCATTCAATAGCCGTTGCCGTGCAAGTCTCACAACCTAAAGCTTCGACCTATAAGTGCGTTGTGAAAGCACGCCCACGAGCAGGGGGTGGGTGACTTGGCCAGACAGACAGCACGGGGCTGTTCCTGGGCTCCCCTGGTTTTTTTGTGTGTCGCCGCACTGGCCATTGTTTGGGGTTTCTTGCGTCGTGACGTCTTTTTGTCCACGAAACCTTCACGGCCGCTATGCAGAGACCACGGCCGCCGTCGGCGTCGACTTCACCACACTCCCGTGCAGGTCCAGACGGCGCGCCTCGATCGGCGTCCCGCGCGAGATGGCACATGTCGCCATCGCCATCGCCGTCGCCATCGCGGTCCCGGACGCCGTCGCAGTCCCGCTCACCGTCAAGATCAACAAGACGCAGCGCGTCGCGGCCGCCCCCCAGACGCAGCTCCAGGGACTCGCAGCAGGAGAAGGAGCACAACCGGGGCAGGCTCATCAAGGACTCGGCCGGCCTGCTGCTGGGCATCGGCGTGGCGGCCGTTGTCGCCCACAAGTTCTGGCCAAAGGGGATGCTGTACGGCGCCAAGGAGGAGTGGGAGACGCGCCTGGACAAGGCCAGGGACAAGGTGCTTGGGGACGACAATGGCCGTGGCCCTGACGTCCGTCGCCGGGAGAGGGGCCGTAGTATGAATAGGGGCAGGGCCTACCACTACGACTACGAGAGCGAGAGACTGGCCGTGGAAAGAGGACCCGCGGCCCCCTCGCCGAGGAGCAGAAGTTGTCGGGAACGAGTTCCCAGGGGACGAAGCCTGGGACCGCTCCGGAGGAGAGTCTACCAAGAGGCTGCTGACACCGCGAGGTGGGAGAGGCCGGGGCCCGGGCATCGCCAACAGGGTAGGGGGGAGCCATTGTATGCTTCGGAAGGATTTCCCCATCTACCAGATGTGGATTTGGGACACCGCGCTCGTCGTGAAGATGACTTTACTGTAGTGGAGAGAGACTTGCCGCGACATGGTGGCCGTGGGTATAGATGATGAGACGACATCTCACGATTAACGACCTTTTTTTTCTTTTCACGCTGCTACTTTAGTTACTTTGCCGCTCGATACCCGTGTTGCATTTCCCATTTTGGTAGCATACATCGTGCTCACTATATGCATCGAAAAATTCGTGGGTTGGACCAGCTTCATATTTCAAATAGAGCTCTGCCTGATTTCCATGTATCCAACTTTATTTCTTGTGTGAATATCCCTTTTCTATATGTATTGCGACGCCATCAAGATTTGCCCCATATCATTATTGCACCGCCAATCCTTGCCTTATAAATCCATCTCGTCTTCAGGCCGTGAAGCAATTCCCTGTTGACTGTACCGAGTTTCTGTCCCAAGGACACCGCCCTTCGTGTGTTTAGCAACAGCGTCCTGCCAAAAATCACCCCCGGTGCGCATCACCAGGCCGGTGGAAAGGCAGTCGCCAAAGTACTGTTCCCGCCGCGTGCTTCTTCGTTCGCTACCTTCAAGCGCCGAGTACGCACTTCTCGTATTGCGCATGCGCTTCCTTGTGCCGCCGTCACTCAATATGTGGCTTAGCTTTAGCCTTTCTTGCATGAGCTGATTCTCAAAGGCCACGATGCCACGAATCCAAGGAGCAACATCCAGAACAATCAGCTGCATCGTGCGGTCAAAGACAGACGGGTCGAGATGTGAACTTGGTTGCGCTTTGGGCGCTATGGCTATTGGATCGAATGCGTGGGCCATATCCATCCGGTTGACGCTCTTGGAAGTGTCATGGAATGACGACTCGAGCCTTGAGATGGCGCTAGACTCGTTGACTGCGCACAAACCGGCATTGTCTCGAGATGGTTGTACATCTTGCAGCCTTGAACGTAACCGCGCCCGAGCCTGTGATCGCAAGGTCATGGAAATCGTTTTGCCAGGCATGACAGGGTGTATGTAGTCATCTGCTTCTAACAAGGTACGCCCGATTATGAAGTCTTCTCTCGCCTTGCTGGTAAGATCAGGAAGCGACGGATCAACGGGCTCCTGCAGCCAAGTTGCACACATACCCGCAGAACAAATGTCAGCATCGCTCATTGTCTGGTAGAATTTGTCCAAGGCTTCAAGTGCGGCTGCTCGTTTGCCCTCAGTGTCGGCCGAGTCCCATGCTGCCCTTACTACCGACCCCAATTCATTGGATTGACACCAATCGCCCATATCCACTTGCCAGAAGTTCCAGGACTGTTGCAAGGCCTCGACCTCTCGGTCGTACCTGTCGCACTCTGATGTCATAACATCCCGTCCGATCCAGCCCATGCCGTTCTGGTACGTATCCTCACTAATCACTCGAACGACATCACCGTCGTCGTCCAAGTCGCAACCTTTGGGCCACCGGGCGTAAAACCAGTCGAATCCTCCCCTGCGATCACCCACTCCAATTTGACACCAGAAGTTAAGATCAGAAATGGTGGCTCGTAGGTCGCGATCACGAGCTCGATATAGGGACTCAACGGCGGATCTCTGGAGACTATGTCCTTCATTTGCGGCAATGAGAAGACACAGATCCACCGCAATAGGCTCTGGTGCTGGCATGAAGCGAAAGATCCCATGAAGATTTAGATTCTGGAGCGGGACTAAGCTCTCATCATTGCAAGTGATAACGAAAGGTCGCCGCGACTGATTCATCATGCTTGTCAAGACTGCCCAGAACTGCTTGTCTTCTTCATATAATATATCCGCTTCTTCAATCAGGATAAGAGACTGTTTCTGAGCTTTCGAACTCGGCTTTTGAGTTTGGCCACCTATAGCTTGCTTTGGCCTTGCTTTTGCCTCAGGAGCAGCCTTTGATTTGAAGAAAGCCGTCATCCTGCCTTGTTTGCCAGACTTTGTCGACTCATTGCCCTCATAATCAAGCCCTCCGTCCATTGATGGCTGCGCAGCTCGGTGCTGTTGAACTAAGTGATTTCGCGTCATGTCTCCAACCCTTTCGAGAACATCCTTACCACTTCGCCGGGTGCCTGAATTTATCTCGAATATTTCAAAGTCAAGTTCCTTCGCAATAGCGTATACGGCGGCGGTCTTCCCACAGCCGTTTGCGCCACTAATGACAACGGTATTCCTCAGCTGTCCCGGCTCCTTGAACCTTGCGCCACCAGCTCGAACGACAGATTTTAGGCATCTGCCAGAGCTCCCATCTTCTTCTCCATCGCTTCCAGAGATCTCTTCCAGATCACTCCCTTCCTCGTCAGTGTCGACGATGAAATCGTCCACTTTGTTCTTCCTCCTCTTTTTCCTCGGTAATGACTCGGCTTTTGATCTGCCCTTATCTCCGGTCACGTCACCGCTACCAGTTTCGACTGATTGAACCTTCATTCCTTCTAACCATTGTTTTATGTGAAGGGCATCCTTGGATTTCTGAAGGACTTGTGCTGCTGAGACGGGTGCGTACTTTTGATTCCAAGAGGATCCCTCACAGGTAGACCTGTCGTATGCCGATAGGTGTGTCCCTAGAGAGACATAGTGGCGGCTGATGGCTGGATGAGCCAGCGTTGGCGGTGGCCCTGCAAGTTCATCCAAACATGGATCTTCTATTCCTGCCAATGCCAGTGGTGAGGTAATTGTAAGTTGAGGTCGTATTCGACGTTGTAATTTTGAACCGCTCTCACATCGCTTTTGTGGAATGCGGAGCTCTGCAGGGGCAGAGTTGAAAGCGTCGTTGTCCTGCGGCAAACTACGGCGCACGCCTGCGACGTCTAATCTATCGGCGACAGCAGCCAGCACTGATTCATTTGGACCGATGGTCGTGACCTGTCCTTTGAATTTCTTGTATCCGCCAGTTTCGACCCTACATTCCGTGGTACAAAGCGGTCTGAAGCTATTCCCTCGAACATGGGACATGCCCTGCGCTGGCCACATGGGGTGCTTGGCACCAGGTACTTTTGTCCCTCTAGGCCTGATACCAAATTGTGATACCGCCGTAACATTTGTTGACGAGGATGAGTTCCTCGGTCTCCTGGGAGATACAGGCGTTGACATAAATACAGAGTTCTTTTGAGCAGGCGACCTTGTCGCTGAATCTGTTGATTGAATGGGTGTTGATGAACGAGGATTCGGTTTGCCTGAGAAGAACGGGTGAGTCCCCTTGGTAGATGTAGAAGATTTGACGATAATATCACTGGTTTTGGTTACACTCTTATGTGGTCGCTGCTCTGTCGGTGTTTCCGGGAGTTGTAAGCTGCCGTCCAACACCCGTGTGACTTTCTCTCCAATTTCACTCCTTGATTTTTCATCCCGACCATATTTGATACAGACGATCAGGGATCGCTTAGATTTTTGTTTCGTCTTGGGCGGTGATCCTAGAGTGCCAGTTCTAGGGTTCAGTCTCAGTACTTTCTTTGCCTGTGGCGGCGCATTTCGTTCGGACTGGTCCATGCTGGTCGTTGGCAGAGCGCATTGGGTGATATCATTGAGGGGTTTGTTTGTCATATTGGAGGGAGTAGACAGATATTGTAGCTCGTATTGGTTTTTCGTTGACATGCAAGTGTCCTGTCCGGTAATCTTAGAAGGCGGAAGGCGTTGAGCAGAGCCGGAAAGAGGGCGAGTGAGAGCAGCTCCTGGTGCATCAGCTGCATGGCTGAGTTGTTGAGGGCCCGTATCTCTCTCATATTGAGATGCTAAATCAGACTTATATTTTCTCGTAGGGTGTCCGTCGTCTCCCGCATCAATCACGGGAGTGGAGATGTCGCTACTGCCAAGCCGTGTGTTCGGGGTATCATTTGACGTCGAAGTGGTCGAGATCAGACCAGATGCACCATTGGCGAAGAAAGGGTGCAGTTTTCGGGATGACGGTTCACCAATGCCATTCCGGCCCATGTTTTCTACCAACACAGGTCCCATTTGACGTGTAGTGACTCGTTTACCAGCTTTCCGGCAAAGGGCGATGTTAGCTGCTTGGGCAAGGTTCTGTACGCTCACTCCATACCTGTTTAACTTATCTTATCCGTAGCATTGCAAACAGCCCAGATAGATACTTGGGAAACCTGATTATCACCATGCCATAGTGGTTGATTTGGCGACCCTGCTGAAAAATCGAAATGTGATATGCTGGATCTGAAATTGATGCTGGAAGTTGCGATGGAAGTGTCGGTTGTGGACCCGCGACTTGCTACTCCGTACTTGGCTTGGTAACTACCAGACGCGTTCTGGAGGAGACGCGCCCATGGCCACTTAAAGGGTACGTGCCTCAGCAGAAGTCGGCCACACATTGGGACTGCATATCCTGACCCCACCACTCGCACTTTCCTTGTTCGATGGAGTACCAGCCCCACTTCCGGATTTTTGTATCGGGCCGCTGCCAGTATTTTTTTTTCTGGCTCGGTTTGCCAATTATACAAATCGCAGCACCAGGTCGTTGAAGACGCCGCCGCCGCCGATTATTTCCCCCAATTGATGAAATAAAGCTCTGCTGCACAGCAGAGGCGGACGTTTGCGATGGCGTTTGAACACAAGATTCATCGACCATATGTGCTGGCCACTTTGCCCCGCCCTCTTGACCACACTGGTGGTCGTATTGTTGCTCGCGAGGTCTATGGTTTACGGACTGGCCAAAAAAAGAAGAAGCGTATGGAGCTAGCCGTTGGAGTTGATGGTGAAACAGCCAGTATATACGATGTGCGTATTTTATTATTCCATGGAAGCCTTTTACAACAACAATCTGGCTAATAAGAAGGACAGGTTCCCGCGTCGCGACTCATCACATCGTATCCCATCCCACCTCAAGAATCCTTCACCTGCGCTCCGTACTCTATTAGACTACGGCGGTCAGGCAGCGACGATGTGTATCGGTATACATATATTGCTACAAGAGATGCCAAGTCATACAAAATTACACTGTTCAGAGATGTCGTACATCCAGATGGCAAGACTACAACATCAACAACTTCTCAGACTCTGCGAGCATCCCCGATTCACATTACTGGCTCCTCTTCTACTACATCCTCATTATCGGGAAACACAGTAGGAGATGTCGTAGCTATCTG